ACAAAATCCGATATTTCCATCACATATTTTACAAGTTAGATTATTATCAGACAATTTATAATTTGGTGGAACATATTAAGGGTAATCTTTCAAAAAGACCAGATTAAGATGCATTTCATACGAGTTACGAAGCTAGTTTCCTTATACAAATGTATCTGGTTAATTATGAACTAAAAAAGAAACTGTACAAATACTGATTTAGTCCATTTACTACTCGTTAACTAAGAATCAACAACACGACATATAGAAACCGCAAACTTTCAACATCAAATGATAAGGAGCACATCGACTTATGTCACACACATCAACAAAACAAAATAACATTCATCAATTAATTTGTCAGACGGATATTACGGAATGCGAAATGTACGAATGTTATCTTGATCTCTGCTAACCTCGTTAGCAGTACGCCGTGTAATTATATCAGCCTTCCGCTCCCTGTGTCTTCCAGCGTAATCATTCGAAACAATAACGGACTCAATCCGTTCACATTACGAAACTGTTGAACATAACATAGGGTCATTAAAAAACTTCCTAGAGAATACTCCCTACTTCACAGAAGCATAGATATGTCCTACTATTTACTATGCTCGAGTATTGTATTCTTGTTCGTTCACAAAAGCTTTATCTTATCTTACTAATGTTATACTCAAATGCGAAAGTTTATATGGATGGATAGAGTTTTGTTAGAGTTTGCCGCCTAAACGGCTGAACGGATCTCGATTAAATTTGGCATAAATGTAGAGCATTTGGCATAGTGTAGTAGTGTTGAATAACAAAAAGATTAGTTATTCTTTATTTTTAATTCCACGCGGTAGGAGTCGCCGGCGAAAGCTAGTATGTAGATATAAGAAAACATGTATATTATAGGTTAATTCTATATAGTAGATCTTTCAAATGGTGCAAAATTTTCTAAGATCGTTTTAAGTCAGCGATAAACAATTAAAAATTTGCTAAATAAAAATGCTTTTTATGGATCACTAATCGCTACTAGAAATTATGTAACATTCAGATAAATTATTACGATATTCAGATTTTTATTTTGCGGTTTGTACTAATTTATAGATACGGAAATAGAGTTTTTTGTAACCTAAGTATTACTCGTAATACATTGATATCATTTTCGAGTCAATACCTAATTAGTTTGGTGTCAATTGACATTAATTCCGGAATGAAATTTGCAAGTAACTTAATACGTTAAACTTGCAAATAAACGCGCCTTTGTGTGAACTTCTTAATCCAGATTTTAGCACCTTAATTATTTTTAGGTTAGGTTACGTAATTAAAATAACCCTTAGCCGTTAATCGAGTTTTAATAATCCTGTAAAATAACTTAAAAACAGTGATAATATAATGTGAATATTGTGTTTTACCCGCTCTGTAGAGTTTAATTCGTGCAGTAATCTCAAGTCAGGCGCACTTCCAAATGATTGTAAATACAGCCTAATTAATATGAACTTGTTTTCTAATTATTCGAAAGCCTTATGTAAGGTATTGATTTGACAAGCGTTTGACACTTGAAACTTATTGTGAATTCAATCAGATTAGTCACACACTCTTTGGTCACACCTTAAATGTACACTTGTATGAAATGTAACAAGTGACACGTGAAGACAGTTTGGTTTGTTTTAATTAACTTATCTGTAGGTCGATATACGGGTATTTATGAATTCATCTCCCCTACCTTATCCACCCCACGTAGAGTCGGAGCTCCGTGTTTTCTTCCTCCAAATAACTCTATCATCCGACATCTAAGTCATCATTCCCTTCTTGATCATGTCATCTTTCACGCAATCCATCCTTTTCTTTCTAAGTCTACCGGTGTACCTCCACATTCATAACTAACGTCCTTCTTGTTTCATGCGATTACTCCCTCATAACAAGCCTATACTATGCTAACCTTTTACTCCTTAATTTCTCAACCACTTGGGCTACTCTCAAATTTCCTCTAATATACACATTTCGTATCTTGTAACAATTACGAATCTAGTATCTTATTAATGCGACATTACCTGGAGATGTTACCTTAATTTATTCCGCATAGACCCATCTAATGAATCTATCCACGCATTGAAATCAGCGACGCATGACGTAATCGATAGGTGTTTGATCGCACGGCGCCCGACACGGCGTCGACACGGAGCCGACACGAGGCGGCGACGCGAAAGCCGGTGTCGGATGCTTCGTATCGAATGTCGCACGCTGTCCCATCGTCGAAGCGCTCTGATTGACGACAGAATAGACCCTCCGAGATGGCTTGCTATCTAGTCATGTTGCGGTTACATGCTGTCCTATACCGTTACTATACTTTTAATAGCTCTAATAAGCTTAATATGGAAAAGTTTACATAATAATTTTGGTATAAAATTCTCTACACTTTCTACCTTATTTTATAACAAATATAAATAAATCAATTACAAAACATGAGAAAATTAAGCAATTATTTAAGTTATCCTATAAATAAAACACTTAAAGTAACCGAAACATAAACTACTTTATGAAAAGTTGTCGTCAAATAAATCGTAATTTATTTAACACGTTAAGCAAATTCCATTACGTTCCCACGATACAGAAACTGTGAAAGGATTTCTTTGCGTTAAGTTCAAGTTACAAACCTCTTTAAGCACTCAGTACGTAACTTATTCTCGCAGTTTGTAGCCACAGACAAAACGGAACATTGCACTTAAATCGAGCAAACTGCAGTACGATCCTAAGTTTTCTATAGAATTTCTTTAGTCTGTGGCCGCATGAAGTTCCATTGTTTATTTTAGCTTGGCTAACTTCGTCAAAACAAAGTTAAGCACAATACGTAATTCGAGTAAGCATGTAGTTTACGATGCATATTTCACACTTGGTTATTTCGATACATTTTCCTACTTTTATTGACCGACTACCCAAAAGAAGGAGGTACTCAAGTCGTCTGTATTTTTTTTAATGTGTGTTACGGCATAACTCCGCCGCTAGTGGACCGATTTTGATAATTCTTTTTTATCCGAAAGGTAATGCTTGCAGGTGGGTCCCATTTTTTTTTTAAGCATCAAGTTAGCAAATATTTAGGATATTTAGAAGGAAAATTTCTCTTTACTTTTAATTTATTTATGGATAAATAGAGCAAAGTCATAAACTAATTAACTATTATATAATAGACACACATGTTTAATTTTTCACTGGAAACGTCTTATGAAAGTTCAATTAAATAGTGTAAAATTTAGAAACGAGCAATTTTCACATTTAGGGCATATTTTTTTAATTCCACGCAGAGTAGCGGGCTACAGCGAGTGTATTATGTAACAAAGCAGCTGCGACGATTAAATTATATCTCGATTACGGAATACATTAAGTTACAATTAGTCTAAGCGATTATAGAGAATCGAAAACTTCGAACAATGGCAAATAAAATCGTTATCATGGCATCCGTATTCTGAGCGACAAAACGTTGTAAATTGCGTCGCAACTCCGCTAGTGATAATGCCGATAATAATGCCGTGGACGCTGAAAATTTTCCACCTCGAATTCCCAACACGGCTATAAACGAAAGCAGATATTGCCAATTAGATTGAAATAATAAGAAGTCTACTGGCGACAGATCCATATTTGGCATAATACATCCATGGAGCCCGAAGGTAAACCGTTCTTGTCATTGGAATATAGACTTTATGTAATTACCATAAAGCTTTTTATGGTATTTATTAGATGCTACAGAAGTGTAGAATTAATTTAAATACCAGAATAATTTGAAATTCTTATTTTAATCGACGTGTTAAGTGAAGGAATAATCTAGTAAGTTAACATCTCCACTTAAAATTAACTGTACAGTTATTTAAAGTACTCAAATCTATTAAAATAATATTTTACTATTTCTATGTGTTATATTTTTTAGTCGTAATAATCACGTAGAGAAATCAATTTTAAGACTCATCGTTTATAGGTCTTATAATAGCATTTGATAAAAAATGATCGGTCGCAATACAATAGAGTGTAATTGTTAGAGACAGTAAAATTGGTAGACCCTATATACTAAGAATGTGTATTCACAGCAATATGTTGGTTACGAAAGACCATCAAGGTATGACCGACCCTGCGTGTACCAATTGTTATCCTCTTATTTCTATATGCATTTAAAACTTATATACATACAAAATCATTCAACCAAACCCTCCCAGGGCGCCGGACATAAAGGGCACGGCCAATTTTTATCGTCTAGGCACAAAAGGGGCGCCGCAGAAATCTCGCCCTGGGCTTTATTACTTCACACCTTGAAGATTTTAAACATAATTTTATAGCGTGGGAATTCCAATGAGTAAGAAAGTCTTTGTCAAAATTTCAACTTATTCAGTGTATCAGCTTAATTTTATGACTGTCATATAGATTTATTGCCGATATTTTGTTATTTACTGTTACAGTTTTCTGCATTCCTTTATTTGAATGTACCTTGATAAATTAAAAAGAACAACAGAATTAATAAGAAATGACAGCAGACAGACAGCGCATAAATATGGTTATTGCGGAACCTGAATCATAACAATAGGAAGTGATTGATCCTAGACGTCCTTACCCTTGGTGTAGTGTATCGACACCCGAGCCGAGTGCAATACCGATAGCCTAACATTAACTTGTAATCTATTCCATAATACATACTCTCATTTGTCCATCTTAACCGTGATAGGAAGGTCCAGCTGATGATGATATGTACGTAATGATGAACAGATTTATTTTGCAAATGTATTTATTTGCCTTACATCATAGCCGCCCAAATGTATACATGCAATTTTACATCACTAACATTGCTATTTATTTTTAAAAGGAGTTCTGATAATTGAAATAAAAGTCGAAACGTTTTTGCATTTAAATATTTGTTAACAGAAATAATACTGTAAGTTGAAAATAAGATATGATAGATTTTTCTTAATGATAGATCATATAAAAAATAAACTTATATTTACAACATAATAAATGAAACTAAATATCACAGATTATTTCAACCATAAACGCAACAACTATTTTTTAATAGAATATAATTCAAAATATAGTCTCTTATTATTTTAATAAACAAAATATCCATCATCATAATGATAATGTTTTGTTCTGTTTGACGCTAGACCTTCTGCTATTCGATCTCCTAAATCTGGATGTATAATAGAAAATAGTTTGACAGCTCTTTCCTGTAAGAATTTTGCCGTACCTCCTAAACTGTAAAGTATATTTTCAACAAGACGACTTCGTTCATCCTTTGTCATCTCGTTCACGTACAATTCCGTAGCTTGATTGAAATTATTTGGGTCATCTTGGTATATTTCTATTAACTCTGCTCTTTTCTTATCCACATATGCTGCAGCACCGTTATACGAATTCGGATAATAATTAGGTGTATCTCTTTCATTATCTTTGACTGGAGGTCTACCATCACGATTGTAAGCCAGGACTTTCACTTGAACAGGACAATTCACAGGGATTCTGTTAAAGTTAGCACCCAATCGGTAATACTGGGCATCGCGGTAAGCTAAACGACGTGCCTCGAAAACCTTATCAGGTCCTCCCAAAATTCCTGGCACTAAATTTGCAGGACTAAAAGCTAACTGTTCTATTTCAGCGAAATAATTTATTGCATTTTTATTTAAAACAAACACACCAACAGGTTTCAATGGATAATCGTCTAAAGGCAAAACTCTGGTCACATCAAAAACATCAAAACCAGCATTTTTCACGTCATGAAGGGATAAAACTTGTACACTAACTTTCCAACTAGGGAAATCTCCATTACCTATAGCTCTATATAAATCTCTTGTAGCATAATCTGGATCGACTGCTGCTATTTTCATCGCTTCATCAGATCTAAGATTTTTAATTCCCGCATTTGGTGTAAAATGAAATCTAACAAAACTTTTTTCTCCATGTTCGTTGACGACTTCAAATGTGTGTATACCAAAGCCAGGCATATGACGATATCCATCTGGAATTCCTCGATCACCAAAAACTAAGAGAAACATATGCAAACTTTCTGGTCGCAGCGTCAAGAAATCCCACAGCATGTTCCCATCGATGAGATTTGTAGCTGGATTTCTCTTCTGTGCTCTAACAAAGGTGGAGAACAGAAGAGGGTCTTTGTAGACGTACATCGGTGTATTGAAGCCTACAATGTCGAAATTACCTTCTTCAGTGTAAAACTTGACAGCAAATCCTCTAGCATCTCTGGAAGTATCTATCCCACCTCTTTCAACAACAACTGGAGAGAATCTTACTGCTACTGGTGTTTTTTTGCCAACTCTGCTAAAAAGTTTGGCTTTGCAAATGTGAGTTATATCATGGGTTACTTCGAAGTAACCGAAAGCGCCGCCTGCTTTCGCATGAACAAGACGTTCTGGTATTCGCTCTCGTACAAGATGTGTTAACGAATCCATAAAGTATTCATTAAATATAAGATTAGAGTTGAGGGTGACTGTAGCGTCTTTGTATTCTATTGGAGCACCAGCACTGGTCGTCATAACTCCAATCGGACCCTGAAATAAAAGTAAAATATCAAAATACTTTTTTTAATCTGTATTAATATAAGCCTGCTCTAGTTTCTTGATTGAAAATCGGTAGTTGGGTCAATTTATATAATAGAATGACCTTGTCACTGCACAATTATGCAGACTATGTCGTGACCATCATAGACTTTCCGTTGTTATGAAAAATGTACCAATTTTCTAGTCACTGTTTAATATACATACGAGGATATAATTAAAACTTTATCTCGTTGCAGTTTTGGCAACATATATATTCCAGGCACTAATGTATAATATATAATAAAATTTTACGAATTTATATTAATAATGACTCGTCAAGATATTAAATATTCGAAACCATCAAAACTTACCTTCGTCTTCTCTTTAAATAGCAGAATTTGTTGTCCTGCTGGGTCATTCTCTTGCTTAGCCACCGCAGCCACGATTACAACCAGAAAGAAACCTCGTAACACCATCGCTTACACTTCTAGCATCCTCTACGAGATACCAGTGTCAAACGGTTGTTTGGTCTATCAGCACAGTCTTTATATCTCAACAAATGGCTCGGCCTTGTCTCTTACTGGCCAAGTCTTATAGGCTGCGCAATTATTGCTCAACGAAAGTGAAAAATGTTGAATAGCTTACGTGTTTTCACAATTATTATATTTAGATCTGAAACAAATTGTTTTATAAAACGTGAAGTTTATGACAATGACCAATAATCAAATAGAAATCAACTTGGAATTACCAACTTATGAATTTATGCTCGAGATTTGCAAACTTGGCTTAACAAAGACTCAATTTACTGTGACAATTATTAAAACAGTATTTATGTTGTTATACGTTTTAACAGCCAAGCTAATAAATGTTGACAGCTAGTGTTTAGTACGCAGAAAACGTAAATTTCTAATTAAATTAAATAAAACCAAGGAACTTGCGACAATTTCTTATAAAATCTGGGTTATCCATAATTTTCGTATAACAAAGTAATTGAAAGTGTTATAAAGTTATATAAACTAGATTTTAGGTTAGCGAGACTGCTTCAGAACTAGCAGTGTTTCAAATAATCAGAGCTTTACCTTTTACGTCTTTGACCTGTTACACATTTTTGCGAGTAGTTTAGATTTTTTAACTTGACATAATTACGAGCCAAAATAGGGCGAAATAGCTCATTTGAAAATTTGCTATTATAAAACTCACGGCGTTATCCTTCAGAGTTATAAGTGTATGTAATGTATTCTCTCACCTAGTTAATAGCGGATGGCGTTTACAGATCACCGTTATCACGTACCGTATCTGGTGTTCGCGGAGTGAACGTACATATTTCATCGCCGGCTCGTCACACTCCAACGAATGTTGAGAAACACCAAACAAAAGAGCAGGCTTGTAATCATTATGTCAGGCGCGATACTACTTTTACAGTTTGTTTAAATTAAACTGACAGAACTATTACTGTAATATTTTAAAATACACATAATTTAAGTGTGTCACAAGCAGTCTTGTAATAAAAGTGTAAAATATGAAATACAAAATAGCTAGACAGGATACAATCTTACTTCTTACTAATATCATAAATGCGAAAGTTTAGATGGATGGATGGATGGATGTTAGTTAGCGTTTGTAGCCTAAACGTCTGAACGGATCTCCATGAAATTTGGCACAGGTTTAGAGTTTAGAGCATAGTCTGGAAGAACACATAGGGTACTTTTTATCCCGGGAATAGTTACGGTTCCCGTGGGACTCATTAATTTAGTTTTTTTTAAATTTAATTACTAAATCAAAAACTAAAACAAATGTTAGATTTTTAAATCACAGAATTGTTAATAACTAATGTATAAATACGATATTCTGTGGATACAAAATATACTCTTTAAGTCTTTTCGTGCATGAAAACGAAAACGCTTCATTTAACATATAACACGAGCATAAGTAGCACATTGTATCACAAAACATTTGTAACATTAATTTGCTCTTCGAAAATAAAGATACAGATGTTTTGCATCCGACTTTAAAGAAACATACGCAAATATTTTGCTAAACTTTTAATTTACCTAGCGATTGTAATAGATCGAGATTTAAGTCATTCAGTCATTCGGTCATAAGTCTCACAAGTAAAAAAGATATATTTATAGTCTGTTTACTTGTTTTATCTGTCTCAATTTTAATTTCCATTTTGTCTATTGTCTTGTCAAAGAAAAATGTGAAAAGTCAAGTTACTTCTAAAAATATAATCCACGGTATATAGATCACTTATTATTCAATACGTGTCATTGTAAAATGATAAATTCTTAAGTTTTACACTGTAATTTATTATCAGTGTTTTTATTATACTAACCTACAACAAAAACTAATATGGCAAGGTCGCCGACTGATGATTTAAGATTCGGCGACATACCGCTCAATAGCTGGAATTTCTGCACGGAAACAGGTGACAACAGTCCACCTGGTACAATAAACGAGAGAAAACCCACACCGATTCCAGGCAATCCCGCTACGATGGCAGAAAATAATATTTACAACCCCCAAAATTACAGCAAAGATGTTTATCTAAATAAACATCATTTTAATGTTCAAACTAACGAATGTATTGGAAATAAAGAAGAAAACTGTTCGTATAATGCACCTAATGGTTCTATAGGCAACGCAAACTATGGCAATGCAATGCTTAAATTAGATAATGGGCAGTTGGTAAGAGTATTTTATGATGAAAACAATCAACAACTTATCTTCCCTAAATCTGGTCAGTATGAATTGTTTAACAACAACCAGGGTCTATGTGATATGCAACAACACAATTTGTTTAGTAGGAATCAAGATTTTACTGTCCCCAACAGTCATATTCCTGCTCAAACGAATGTACCTAGTAATTCATTCTGTCAAGAAAATGTGCAGTCAAATATGCCAACATCAAACTTCCTGAAAGAAGTGTTAGGTAACTGGGAGCCAAACTCTTCAGGTACTTATTCACCATTTGGACAAAATTACCCATTGAATCACCCTGAAGCACCTTCTTTAAATATGTTACCAAACAACCCCATGTTAGATCCGATTACTCAATCACTTAAGGCGGAGAGTTCTCCAAAGAGAAATGAGAACAGTCCGTTGGCTGACACAAGTAACAAGAAGCGTATTGTGGCAGAAGTAAAGCCAATGCGCCCCTCATACTCAGATGTATTGGCTAAAAATACTAAAAACAACCCTCAACCAGATAATACTAAAAAAGTAAAACCACAGAGTGTTGAAACTAAAAACAAGCCAAATTCCAAAAATGATAAGCCACTCACTAACATAAAGTGTAATGATGATAAGCATAAAACTGATAAAAAACAAACCAATACAGTATCCTCTGGCAGTGAATCAGGGGACATCAATGCTGATGATACAGACAGAAACAAAAAGACAAATAAGAAATCCAAGAACAAACGTAGCAACATGACCAGAAGATGGTCGTCCCTAGATGACTTAAATGATGAGAACGGAGCTAAATTTGAACAAACCAATGAGAGTCAATTTGTCTTCATACAGAACAACAGTGATAAATCTCATAAAAAAGATAAGAAAGAAAACAAAACAAAGAATGTTGAGAAGAGCAACATTGAGAATGATTTTAAGATTGATGATGATGAAGATGATCAATCTGAATTCATCCTCCATGATGGTCAAACTGAAACATCTAAAGTAAAGAAGAGAAAAGAAGGACGGAGTTATCATAAAACACCAAAACCAGCACAGGATAAAAAGAAACCGACCCAGACCAAATTCAGAAGAAACAAGCCTGGATACTTAGGTTTGGCTCAGAACTGGCTGGAACATTGGGCGGATGTGTCTTGGAAAGCACTTGTATGGTTCTTCTTTCTACTCTCTGATATATGTGGCATGAGTTTACACCTATCTTTTGACCTGTAAGTTCTTTTTTCTATTAATTTCTTTGATTATCTTCATGATATATTGATTTTTTTACCTATAATATTTCATTTAACAACCATTTTACTATTTTTATACAAACTGAACACAAGTCCATTATTTTATGTCAATGTAATATTGCAATAATATTGTGTAATCTTAGTAGTAAACAATTAAAAATCAATCAAACCTGATCTTACTAATATTATAAATGCGAAAGTTTAGATGGATGTTTGTTAGCGTTTGTAGCCTAAACGGCTGAACGGATCTCCATGAAATTTGGCACAGGTTTAGAGCATAGTCTGGAAGAACACATAAGCTACTTTTTATTCCGGGAATAGTTACGGTTCCTGTGGGATTCATTAATTTAGTTTTTTAATGTTTACTCGATCATTCTGCAACGGTTCAACATATCTTATTAAAATTTGGCACAGATATAAAACAAAGTCTGAAGTACACATGGGATAAGCTTCATCCCCGAGAAATGTCCGGTTCCCGAGGGAAACATAGCTTTTTGTAATTTATATAGTTCGTATGTTTTCTAATACCACGCGGACGAAGTCGCGGGCAACAGCTCGTATTTTATAAATATCTCACTATGACAGTATAAAACATACAAAAACCAAGAAGATGGAATATGTTCTTATATATTCTGTAAGTACAAAGGATTATTTATGTTTTGCAGCTGCACATCGGCATTCACACAGACATACATAAGCTCTCAGGTGGTGTGGCGTAAAAGCAAGAACTGGCTCTCAAAAATGGCTAACAATAAATTTCTACTTTACATTGATAGGAAACTGGGACATACATATTTTGGATTCTGGAGAAAACTTAAATGGTTCAAGAAAGGTACGGATTATTTCAAAGTTACATCTGTTTTAATGCTTATTTTTTAAGTTTTAGTTATGTTTTATTTTCTGTTATTTGCAAAATGTATAAAATACGTAATTTTAATTATTGTGTGAAAAACATATTAAATATTACTTCAATGTGATATATTGGATAAGTTTTTGCAACTCATTGTGAGTTAATTTATTTCAAATATCTCCATTACAATGCTTATTAAATGAAGCCATCAATTTCGCAATTATTTGATTGTATCAGTATTAAAGAATTGTCAACATTGCTATAAAAAGAACCAGCTGTATGAAGTTCCCAATTCTGAGGCTAAACAACTTTTTTTTTCCTCTCAAAGTTAAGGAATTTAGCTGATGGTATTATTATTTGTCCAAAAGTTACTATATTTTGTTTATAGATTTTATATAGATAATTTATTACAGAAACTGAAACGGAAAGGAATAGTAATGGAACTAAATTGAACGCAAACATACCATTGCCTGCAACTGGGGAGGAAGCTATGAAAAGATTGCTAGCTTGTAAAGGGAAAGATCCATACAGGTGACTTTTGCAATATCACATTTGTTAGTTTCATGATAAATCTTTAATAATGTTATAAAAAGGAAAGAATTGTATTTTTGTATGTATTGAAATAACTCAAAACCTACTGGGCCAATTTAAAAAATTCTTTCACCAATCATTTATCTGTAAGTAACATAGGCTATGTTTTTTATTATTATTTTAATTTGACGCGGACGAAGTCGCGAGCAACAGCTAGTATGAAATACATTTACATTTATTATTGCACAACTATTATATTGTTTGCATAATTTTCTGTGGATACAGATATCTACAAACAATTGTAATAGATTAACATAAATACAAGAAATTATTATATAAAAGTTTCGTTGGACGATATCTCGAACAAAACCTGGCGCTAAATAAAATTATCTTGAAAATTGACCACCTTGGTGTACACGCCGCTCGTTTGCCCCCTTTTACTATAAAAAAAAAAAAAAAAAAAAAAAAAAAAAAAAAAAAAAAAAAAAAAAAAAGTCAACTTACTGATAATATAAATGTGAAAGTTAGATGGATGGATGGATGTTTGTTACTGTTTGTAGCTTAAACAGCTGAACGGATCTGGATAAAATTTGGCATAGACGTAGAGGATAGTCTGGAAGAACACATAGGATATTCACTTATATTTCACGCAGACGGAGTCGCAAGCGAAAGCTAGTTTGATATAAAGTTAACCAGATAGACCCTTGTTACAATAGTATGAGGATGACAATAGGACTTCAATTAAGGGTAGGCAACGCTATTGTGAATATCTATGGGAAGGTTACTTCGCCAGTTTGGCAGATTCAGATGCTTGCTTATTTGCCACCTTATGATATAAAAATAGGATTTCAAAGTATTTTATTACTTTAGCTGTTTATAAAATACCAATCTTATCAATTGAGGCAGTAGGCGATTCTGATAATGCTTATGTCAACGCCGCATTATCGGTTTTATTCATATCAATTATTGAAAAATTATATAGTAAAATATTTTTTTGCATCCTAATTACAAAGAGACATAATATAACAAATAATAGTTGTATTTACCAAGCAGTATGTTACAATTATTAGGGGAATCCCCTATTTGAATGTCATGCGTAATTGTACTGATAGACACGATCTTGTTGCTGTGAATAAATGCAATCATTTCAAGACAACTAGAACAATTGTTTGAAAAGCCACTTTCTCGTTTTCAACAATAAGATAATATTTTATATTACATATTTATATGTTATTCTTAGATATATCTTTAGTTGAGGGTCTTCCTAAAACCAAGGCAAAATTATGAACTTAGGTGACACCTAAACATTGGTATATCTATCTTAATGCTACTTAAGGCTACAAACTTTCAAACATCGATGGATGTTTGTTAGAGTTTGTAGCCTGAACGGACTTCGGTGAAATTTGGTACAGATGTAGAGGATAGTATGGAAGAACACATAGGCTACTCACTTTTGTTTTTTTTTTAATTCCACGCGGACGGAGTCGCGGGCGAAAGCTAGTATTATATATAATAGTAAGATTTTGCTCAGATAATCTAGTTTTAAATAAGATATTTTTAAATCAAATCCAACAGAGCCTAATCAATACAAACAGACAAATCTTTCCTATTTATATTAGTAACATTTGTTTAGATAAAATATATATTTACTATAATGTATTTGTGTACAGCATATTAGGTGTGAGCGTGTCGTGTACTGACGAGGACATAAAGCGCTACTACAGACGGCAGGCGTTCCTCGTGCACCCCGACAAGAACCCCCAGCCCGGCGCTGAAGAGGCCTTCAAGATATTACAGCACGCGTTTGACCTTATAGGGGAACCGGTAATTTACTAGCATTACATAGAAAAAAAACTCATATTTTTCATAGTATAAGGCGACCTCGAATACATTCCCATTTGTAGATACGTAGCCTACCTTTAATTGATGGAAAAAAGTGAATATATCGTTCAAATTAGACACTATTGAGGGTAGAAAGAAATTTCTGACTTTATAATACTTTTAAATGAAATACTGGAAAAAATATCTTTGTATTAAGGCTTTACTTACGTTAATTGTCAGGAATTAAGAGAAGCATATGAACGCCACGCACTCGAATCTCGGCATGTGGAGGCAGCTTGGAGCGAACTCAGTCAGCTGCTCACACAGTTGCAAGACAAAATGGAGTTTGCTGCTAACACGATAAGGTACAAAATACCTTGAACATAATTTTTCGATATAAAAATGTATTTTCTAATTGGACAATGTTTTGTAGATGTACGAACTGCGGACGTCGACATAAGCGCGTGCTGACGGACAGGCCGTGCTACGCCGCGCGTTACTGCGCTCAGTGCAAGATACGACACTCCGCTAAAGAGGTGAGTTCATTATCACTAATATACTCTTTACAGTATAAATTGTCTTTAATTATCCGACTCGAAGGACCAATTTCTTAAAATAAATCATACAAAAATTATGGTTTTCTTTAAATAATGTATTTACGATGCCTATTCTAAAAATCAATGAAATTGTGATATTACATACACTATTAGGGTTCGTTCAAACCGGGACTGAATGTAAATTTTTATCAATCGACTTCAAAACAGAGAAGGTTCTTAATTCGATTATTTTCGCAAATGAATTTGAGTTTTATACAATTGTAACAAGGTTATATTTTGCACGTTTTATCAAGAGTGAGCATAAAAGAGACGGAATAAGTCAAATTGGACCTTGTTCCAATTACATAAAGCTTTGTTTGCGTTGGAGATAAAAGCCAAGGCTGTGTAGGGCGACATCTGGGCGGAGTCCAGCCTGCTGGGCCTGCTGGTGATGTACTACGCGTGTATGGACGGCGGCGTCTACCAGATCACGCAGTGGGCCAGCTGTCAGGTAAATTAACATTATACAAGTGGTACTTATGTTTTATTTATGAAAAAAGAAATTGTGAACATTGTATTTGTACTTGAGTAAGGATGAATAGTTCACACTATGATAGTTTTATACTATGGAGGGTAGTCAATTTGTTACTAAGCAAAGCTTAGATGGATGTTTGTTAAAGTTTGTAGCCGTAACGGCTCAACGGATCTGTATGAAATTTGGCACCGATGTAGACCATAGTCTGGAACACATGGGCTATCTACTTTCGTTTTCTTTTTTAATTCCACGCGAACGGAGTCGGGGGCAGAAGCTAAACTATAATTTTTCGATTACATCAGTACGTTACGTACGTCAATTAATTTTAGAATACCTTAGATTTATATGGAACCATAAAATCAGGTGTACTTTTGATATTTTTTTTGTTTTTTTTTTTCATTTTTTATAATTTTTTTAACTTGTAATATGGTAGAAGAAGAACCTGAAGCAGTTGCGTGCGGACTGGCACGTGGTGCAGTACCGCATCGTGCTCGGCAACAAGGCCGCCGACGTCAGCCACGCGCCCGCCGCCGCACACGCTGGGTGAGGATTATAATAAACCCACATAGCTATTTGAACATAAGTCACATTATGGTCTGAACTGAACACATCTAAAACATGCATTTTTTTTTGTAAATAATTTTTCGAGGTGTCAATTTTTTTAATTTACCATCTTTTTTTCAACTTTTCTACTTACTAAAAGAAGGAGGTTCTCAATTGTTTTCTGTGTAACTGTGTGTTTCCCGTTGGCTGAAAGAATTCACGCAATCAATCGACCCAATGAGAAAAAATCCCCGTAGGTTAACAGCCCAACGGGAAACACTAACTAGCCGCTTCAACTAAGTAATAAAATTTTCTCCAGCTTCTAAGATTTCTTTTGTGTATTTAATACAGATGTTTTATTATATTTTTCTGTTTACAGTCACGATCCTAATTTGGAGGAATTTTTAAACAATTTATACAGTAAGTCAGGTGTGTCCGCCAACGCGGCGAGCAAACCCGCGGACGCGGACAAGCGTCGCCGCGCGCGCAAACACAAGCCCTAACCACACATACAAACACAAACACTCGAATGACAGGGATTTATACAGATGTTATTAAATACAAACAGCGCTAACAAACTACTGAAACATTTAAAAAAGAAATTTAAAATTTTGACGTCAGATTGTAAGCGGCGCTTACGAAGAAAAGTTTAATTTTTTTTTTCGTTTGAAATCTAACAATGTGTTTTAAAAAACTTTACCATCTGACCAATTTACTCAAACTATGTCGAAATTAAAAAAGTTCCGAAAGTATATTCACTTTTAAAATATTAAATTTATCGAAGATTAATTTAAAAATATAAATTAATTGATAACATCTGTATGTCCATCGCTCCGTAATATAATCTGTGAAAAACATGCCTTTGAATACATTTAATGATGCTGTACAATCCTAAAATAGCCTTAAAAGATATATAAAAATTTATAGTATGGTATTATTTTACGTGAAACATTTTTATGAAGTGATGAAAGTTATTTTTTTCTTATAATAAAGTGATAATTTATAAATAGTCCAAACGCCTAATGAAAATTCGTAATCTCTTTCTAGACTTTTGAGTAGCGTGAATGTTGTATTATCAGTTTTTGAATGCATCAAAGTTATTGCATTTCATCTTTGAAAAAATTAAAAAATATCTGGTTTACCATAGATAAAAAATCTAAAATGTTGCCTTTTATTACCACTTTATTTTAAGATTAATTAATATTTTATCTTTATTTTATCTCAACATATAATGCCTTTTTATTATACAAAAAAATCCGAACAAAAAATCGCATTATTTTCTGTCATCATATATTATGTATTTTTAAAGGAATCTTCAAATACAATCAACACGTCCTATGTAAAACGCTTGCCTTAGTCATTATGTATGTTAGAATTAGGTTCATTTTAGATTTTGCTTTTAAAAAAATGTGACATTTAATTGAAAAAAATATATCATAACTAGAGACTTTCCTATAGTCTTATATAAATTGAAATTATATTGTGTTCGTAAAATGTATCACCTAACAGTACAATTTCACTTGCATATGAATCTATCATTTTTCATTACTTATACGACTTTAATATGTATTTTGTGTTTTGTAATTTACCTTCAATATATGAGCGTTACAATGCTAGATTTTTTTATTTGTGTGCTGTATGCAATAGTCAAATACTCATACATATATAAAAATAGTTTTTTTAAAGGTATTGTATACATTTTTTTTAATGTCAAGGCAAGACAATTTTTAATTCATCATTCATTAGCTATTAAACTCGTTAAACTGAAGAAAAACTATTTTTAAATGATTATGTATTAGAATTACGTATATTAGAGAATTTAAATGGAATATAACATTGTTTTAGTAAGCAAAATGTATTGTAAGTTGAATTCTATAAAATCGAAATAAAAATGATCACCAATATATTTAACAGCATTGCTTCAAAGATTTTTTTGGTTGTTTTATTCATTTAAAAGCCAGCTTTTTTATTTTTCTATGTAATTTGTACAGTCAGCTTCATAAATATGTATTTAAAATACTTCAAAAACTTGTATACATCAATTAAAAAAATATATATCTGTTTATATAGGTCAATATGGATAAGTATATTATTTATAAAATTTTCGTTATTGTATACATATTTATACAGCTGACTGTACAATCAAATCCACAGTTAATTGTTTTATAAATAAAACTCAAATTTATATATAAAACATATATTTAAGACTCCATGTCATCCTTCTTCCAATCCTTGTCTATAGCGATACAGTCCTCATAAGTCCACTTGGGGAAGATCCGTTTGTACAGGTTCAGTAGCACCGTGTCCTGAGACTTGAGCTGGTCATCGAACACACACTTCATATGTCCATGAGTACCTACAAACAAATTTTGCAATTATTTCTATAATTCATGTTAACATATTGACTGCCACTTGCTCAACAAGTTCATTTAATAAAAATAAATCGCAGCACTGAAAGTATTAAATATTCATTTATATCTACATTATGTTATTGGTTAAATTTGTTATCTGTAACACTGATGTAATTAAGCTGTATAAAAACATAAAAAGCAAATTCTTTAAATATAGTTAAGCCATATTATTTATGACACGGCTAAAACTCACGTGAGAACTTTCGGTGTAGGCACCGACCAGTTTGACCGAAAGTTCCCAGGTGAGTTTTAGCCGTGTTATAAATAATATAGTATAATGTCTCACGAAAGTTTTAATAAGTTAATAGTTAAGCCACTTCAGCCAAAATATCAATTTCTTTTAACAGTGGGAAATTTACTGAGATCAATATATAAAAAATATTCATATTCATAATGAAAACTTACCCAATGGTTCTTTAATATGTCCAGTGCGGCCATACTTAGTCCTAAGCTTGCATGGTTTGTAGTACAATACATCATCTCTATTGAAGAACATGAATCTTATCACTGCTGATCTTCTGTGCACCTGTAAATGTAATTGACAAAGATTAAGGGTGAGTTGCATCATATCACCGGTTATCGTTATTGTTAAAATTAATTCTAACGGTAACATTTACAGTAACCTTAACATTAACTTACTAACGTTGCACCGTGACATCTATTGTAAAAGTTATAGTAAATAGGGTTACAAGTGATAAAACACATTATCTCCCAAATATTTACATAAGTAATATTTTTTACACTGACATCATTTAAATTTAAATGTCAGGAAAGTGTCTTAAAGTCCGTTGTCATTACATAATTTGGAAATTAATTCGACGGTTGGTTACAATCGACGGTTATTATAAAATAAGATGGCAAGCACAAGCAAAACTTTTAGTTTTTAGTAGAACTCCACGAATAAAAACTAAGGCATAACGAAGAAAAACATCACTTAGAACTGATTAAATTAAATTTAGAAATAGATATCTTAAAATCAAAAATAAATAATTAGTCTTTATTAAAATAGGTTTTTATTTATGTCTGAACTAGTCTACGAAAATAGTTATTAATTAATATATTTCTGTTACATTCATCATTACCCGAGGCTGATGGACTATATATTTCGTCTTCATCTGTGACAGCCTCTTCTTCATGCTGTGAAAATGGCATAGGGTCACTGACTTTTCTGAAGATGTTATGTAGCACAGCCATTGCAACAATGATTGCTTGAGCTTTTACTGGGTTAGTCCTGAGTTCCCAAGATAAAGAAGGGAACCTTTTTTTCCAACAGCCAAAAGAACGTTTAATACTCGGTGGTAGGATTGCGTAAAGGTGTGAGAAGACATGGTTTTACACCATAGCCTTTGTCGCCCAGCAACCAGAAATCATCATCAGAAAGTCATGACAGCTGCCTGGCCAACGTGCCACTATGTTATAATAAATACATAGCTGAATTACATATTATTTGAACATTAAGGGAAAAAAACTGTTTTCTATTTCTGTAGACTTCAGCATCATTTCCACCTGGAGATTCTATTGCTATATGGGTACAGTCAATAGCACCTATTGTTTTTGGAAACGCACAGATTTCATAAAATTTTCTGGCCTCATATTCCATAGCTTGCCTATTT